ATAGAACTGTTCCTCTGAAGAGACGCCTAAATTTTCGCCATGAATCTAGAGGACAAACTTTGTCCAATTTCATGTTGCATTTCTGGAAAATTGTTGAGTTTGGAATGAACCTATGCTAGAAATGGTAGGGCCTTGGCACATGCTTTGCCTCATTCAACAGGGCTGCATCCCACCCCTAGAAGCCTGACAGAGTTCCTCATTATCCTTCCCTTCTCAGCAGTGACTATTATATGTCTTAAGTGAAGTGGGTGAAAGTTGCTATGTCACATCCGACTCTGTGATCCTGTTGCCTATGCAGTCCATGGAATTCTCCAGGCCAGAATACTGGAGTGAATAGCCTTTCCCTTCTCCAGGGGATCTTCCCAACTCAGGGATTGAACCCAGGTCTTCCCATTGCAGGCAGATTCTTTATCAACTGAGCTATGAGGGAAGCCCATTTTATGGGTTTATTAATACATATTATATGTGTTAATGCCTTCCTCAAACATACCAAGTTTTCCTAGTAGATACTCATTTCTCTAAGCCAACTGTCCAAGAGCTGCACCAACTTAAGTTTTAGCTACAACTTGCCCAGCATTACTTTCATAAGCGTATCTCTTAACTACAGTTAGTAGAAGCAATTGAGGAGTTTAGATTCCTAACACTCAATCAGGCCATAGTTCAATACTCCTACAAAGTCTTTACACTGATGGGCAATGCAGTATTTAGGATAAGTTAATTTTCATTTAAAAGTTTAATTTTAAATTCCCATTACGATTTTCTGTTAATCTTTAAAACTGTATTTTCTACCATTTTGTCTTTTAAAAAGCATAGGAGCTTGAAGTTGGACAGACTTTAGTTCAAACTCTTATAGTTACATATAAAATCTCTTATTAGTTACCTAAACTTTGTAAGTTACTTCTCTTTGACCCTTTGTTTCCTCTTCTATAAATGGAGATAAATAACACTTTTCAGATCTTTATGAGGATTAGAAGCGCTGAACACAAAGGGTTGACTTAGCACACTGCCAGGTATATAACATGTAATATTATAGAACATGTTCTTGTTGATTTTGTGAACACTGCTAATTGCCTTGTGCTTTAATAATGATCTTGTATGAGTTACTGATTTTTACAGGCCAGTTCCCCCAACACTAAAAGACTTCAAATGATGCCTCTTCTTTTGGGGTTCTTAGGTCTTTTTTAAAGTAATCTTTTATATCTTTTTACCCTACTTTTAAGGAGTGGCCTATCACTTATTGCTATCCTGGGGCTGGTTCTAAGAATAGATTCCACTCTCTGTCTCACCTCCCTTACAATTTTCTGCTTCTAATTTGTTCTACACTGGGAAATCAGATGACCAAACTGTCAGAAATGTGTCTAAATTAAGAATAAAGAGGTTGATCAGAAGGCTAAGGGGTTCTCTTCAGGAGAAGAATATAGAATCTATTAGAGCATAGTCTTTGTGATAGTGGGTAGAGCTGTTAATAAGTCATTTTTACTTATTTTCATGTTCTTGGATGTGTTTCAAAGACCCAGAGAATCAAATAAATGGGAAAATGAGCTACTACTATACTTTTGAAAAAAAAAAAAGATAAACAAAACATGTAATTCTAGAGTTAATATGAGATAATGTAGGGCTGTGACCCAGGAATGTGTTAGGAGCTAGGAGGAATGAATATAATCCATTATTCTTATTGGGAAGACTTGTTAAGTCACCAATCTTAACATCAAGGTAGTTAGAATATTAACATATATTAAGCATCTATTATGTGATTATGTGATAGGGCCCCTGCATGTATTATCTCAATCCTCAAACAGCTCTGAGAAGTAAGAATTATTATACCCATTTATGGTGAGGAAATGGATATTCTAAAAGGTTAAAGTGACTTATTCAAGTTGAAAAGTGCCAGAGTCAGAATTTAAGGTTTGTTCAATTTCAAAGCTCAAAAATCTGTAACCCTCTGGTGATTTGTAAGGACAGACTTCCTCTTTGTACAAAATTTACTTACTCTACATCAGCAAATAAACAATGAGAACATTTAATAAAAAAAACTGAATACCATCAACAATTACAATGATATATATCAAGTGCCTAGGAATTAATTTAAAATGCAGAAGACCTTTATGAAAGAATATTAACTCTACTTAGGACATAAAGTTTGGTACACCTGAAATTAATATAACATTGCAAATCAACTATACCTCAAAAAAGACAGAAAGAGAGATCTGAATAAAGGGAAAGGTAAACTATGATCTTAGGGTAGAAGGACAACATTATAAAGATGTCAATTCTCCCTAAATTACTCTATAAATCCAATTCATCGACCAAAAAACCCAATAAGATTTCATGGAAAATGGACTAATTCTAAATAATTTATGGAAGATTAAAGATTCATGTGGTCCAGGAGTAGTCAGTACAAGTCTGAAACAAGAAAAGCAAAGAGTAGAGATTTAACCTACCTGCTATTAAGACAAATTACAAACCCTTCATAAATGAATGAACGTGATATTGGTGAGGGAGCAAATAGGCAATGGAACAAAATAAAATTCAGGGATGAAGTCAAGTATATATAAGAACTTGGTACCTAGGAATGGTGGTAACACAAATCAATGGGGAGAGAAGAGATCATTTAATAAATGGAGTTGGGAAAACTGGATTATTATGTAGAGAAAATAAAACTAGACCCTTTCTTAATGCATATACAGAATAAATACACACTGAAGACCTGAAATGGAAGGCAATATTATAAAAATATAATGCAAACAGTTACATCATAGTTAGAGAAAAAGTAGAAACATCTATGACCCATGGGTAGGGAAGAATTTATTAAATAAGATCCCCAGAGCACACACCATAAACGCACAGATTGATGGGTTTGACAAAATCAAATTAAATACTCATTGGTTAGGGGTAAAATGTACTGATATCTGCCATTTACTTGGAAATGAATCAAAAAGGATAGATAAATGGATGGATAGAGATAGAGAGAGGGATAGTTATATTGGATAAAGCTGTTATTATTAATAATTATAGAATCTAAGTGGTGGTCATATGAGTGTTTGCCATACTATCCTTCCAATTTTTCTTTATATGTATGTATGTATATGGGCTTCCCAGGTGGTGCAGTGGTAAAGAATCCGCCTGCCAATGCAAGAGAAGCGGGTTTAATTTCTGGGTCGGGAAGATTCCCTGGAGTAGGAAATGGCAACAAACTCCAGTATTCTTGTCTGGAAAAATCCCATGAACAGAGGAACCAAGTGGGCTACAGTCCATGGGGTCACAAAGAATCAGACATGACTGAGTCACTGAGCAAAGCACACATATATGTATGTGTATGTGTGTATGTGTGTGTGGGGGGGCTTCCCTGATGGCTCAGATGGTAAAGAGTCAGTCTGTAATGCAGGAGACCTGGGTTTGATCCCTGGGTTGGGAAGATCCCCTGGAGAAGGGAATGGCTACCCACTCCAGTATTCTTGCGTGAAGAATTCCATGGACACAGGAGCCTAATGTATATATATAGGCCATGCCATATGGTATGGCATGCAGAATCTTAATTCCTTGACCAGGAACCCATGGCCCCTGCAGTTGAAGCACAGAGTCTTAACCACTGGATGGCCAAGGAAGTCCCAATTTTCTGTATGTATGAAATCCCAACAATGAAAAGCCAGTGAAAGTGAAATAATTTTGTTCAAAAAGGATATTGTACATAAAGTTTTAAAAAACTGTGGCTGATTGGAAAAGAAATTTGACACATACACACACAGATATAGAAAAGGTATCTGCTATATTTGTATGTCTATACGTATATATATCTCACAAGAAAACTTACATAATCAGCAAGGAAAAGATAAAATAACCTAAAAGAAAATTTGCAAGATAAATAGGTACTTCAGAGAATTAGAAAACAAATAGCTAATATATTATATATAAAATAGGAAAGTGAAAGTGAAAGTTGCTCAGTCGTGTCCAACTCTTTATGACCCCATTGCCTATGCAGTCCATAGAATTCTTCAGGCCAGAACACTGGGGTGGGAAACCTTTCCCTTCTCCAGGGGATCTTCCCAACCCAGGGATTGAACCCAGGTGTACCCCATTGCAGGCAGATTCTTTACCAGCTGAGCCACAAGGGAAGCCCAAGAATACTGGAGTGGGTAGCCTATCCCTTCTTCAGCAGATCTTCCTGACCCAGGAATTGAACCAGGGTCTCCTGTATTGCAGGCAGTCTCTTTACCAACTGAGCTATCAGGGAAGCCCTATATATAAAATAGAAGATCAAATAAATGCTAAGTAAAATAAAAGATACTACTTGAAACCCAATGGATTGGCAAAAACTAAGAAGTTATATAAGAACTGGCAATAATATGAAGAAACAGAAACTCTTATGCACCACTCATAATTTAGAACAAATTTCTAGAGAAATCTGGTAATATTTGGTGAAAAATTCATATGCACATTTTATAGGATCCAGGACTTCTTCTCCAAAATGCACACTTCAGATAAACTGACACAGGAACACAAAGAGACAGAGACATCTGTAAAGATATTCCCTGCAGCACTGTTTGGAATACCTAAGAACTGGAAACTATCAATCAAAAAACAAATGAAGTACTGTGATATTGGTACATGTTGGAATATAATTCAGCAGTCATCAGGAATGAACCATATATGAATATGGATAGATCTAAAAAAGAACACTGAGTGAAAAAAGTAATAAATAGAATGAGATGTACAACATAATAACTCTTGTGTTTAAAAAGAAAAAAAATCTACACAAATAAACATCACTAGAGATTGTACATGGATATGGATCTTGCCAACCCAGGGATTGAACCCAGGTTTCCTGTACTGCAGGCAGATTCTTTTAACCGTCTGAGCTACTAGGGAAGCTCATATATGTGTCATGGCAATCAATTCCAGTGTTTCTGAAGTCTAAAGTCAACATAAAACCACTTGCTTAAGGGAAATGTCAAAAAAGTAAAAGAGAAATGAACTGACCACTTCCAGGTCACATGGCTTACCGGAGTACACAGCACATGAGCAGCAGATGGGTGGGGACGTTAGCTGGATTGAGCATACTGGGTGTGTCTGACTTCATACAGGCCAGGAAGGCACGCATCCTTCTGTTTTTGTCCTCAACTGCTTTGCCTAGCCAGAGCTTCTTGAGGTTGGGGCAAGTCCATTCCCGAAACGTCAGTGCAGACACCAGCTCTGGGGTTTGAGGTGACTTCCCTTTATAGGCAGACCACTCTTTAAGAATCACTGAAGGAACTAAAAGACAAATTGAAAAACAGGTTATAGAGACTCTGAGCACTTTGCTGCTGGTCACAACTGACAGAATCCATCACACTTCAACATCTTTGTATTTTCTGTCACTATAATTTTTATTGTTAGCAGCAGAAATGGTGAGAGTAGTAAGCATTTATCAGATGCTTGGTATGTATTAAGTATTTTATATATAAATGTAAATCTTACTCCTCTAGACAAACCTGAGAGAGAAGCATTATGATTATATTATCACAAAATATAGTACCCATTTTATAAATGAAAAACAATCAAAGCTTAACTGTTACATAGTTCTACAGTCATATAATAGTCCATCCATTATTCATAGGCAATACATTCCAAGACCCCCAATGGACACCCAAAACCATGCATAGTACTGAATCCTGTATATACTATGGTTTTTCCTATACCTATAAACCTATGATAAAGGTATGCAAAAGATTAACAACAATAATAAAATAGAACAATTATAATATACTGTAATAAAAGTTATCTGAAAGTGGTCTCTCTCAAAATATCTTATTGTACAAATTTAATGCCTTTTTCATCGTAACTAAGCCCTTATTATGTACTGTGTCCATAATTTTTGCAGTTCAAGATGTGACAGCAAAACTAGCATAAATTTCTTTTTCCTTCTTCACAGTTTCACAGGTAGAAGACTTGTTCTTACCATATATCTTTTTGTTCTTACTACAGATGCTAGCAACGTCAGCATATCATTTTTTCCTCCCCTTATTAATTATTGAGAGCTTAACAATTATTAATTATTGAGAACGTTTACCTTTTCACTTAAAGAAAGCACTTTCTTGTTTCTCTTTGTCATATTTGAACTGCTAGTATCACTCTCTTGCACCTTGGGGCCATTATTAAGTAAACTAATGATTACTTGAACACAAACACTTCAAGTGATTATAGGGAGATCCCTGGCTGTCCAGTGGTTAATATTCCATACTTCCACTATAGCAGACACAGGTTCAATCCCTGGTTGGGGAACTAAGATCCTGCAGGCCTCACTGTGTGGCCAAAAAAATAAATAAATAAAATAAAAAGATTTTAATAGCAAAGATAGGAAATAGACATTGGTACAATTGTGTGTATAGTTCTATGTCATGTGTAGATTCATGCAATTATCACCGCAATCAAGATATAAAAATATTCTATCACCACAAAGATCTCTCTTGTGCTACCCCTTTTATGGTTATATGCAATGCTCTCCAGCACCATCCGTGATCTCTGCCAACCACTAATCTGCTCTCTATCTCTATAATTTTGTCAGTTTGAGAATGTTATATAAATTGAATCAGTATGCAACCTTTTGAGACTGGCATTTACACTCAGCATAATGCTCTTGAGATCTATCCATGTTGATGCATGTATCAATAGCTCATTCTTATTTTGATGAGTAATATGCCATGGTATAGATGTACACGGTTTACCTTTTGAAGGACATCTAGGTTATGTCCAGTTTGGAGCTATTATGATAAAGGTGTTATGAATATTTGTGTATAAGTTCCTGCATGAAAATAAGTCTTCATTCTCTAGCATAAATGCTTCAAAAATGTAGTGCTACACACTTATTTTTAGTCTACTTTTAGTTTTAAGGAACTGCCAAATTGTATTCCAGAGTGGTGGTATCATGTTATATTCCTATCAGCAAATCATGAGTGATCCAGTTTTCCCACACTCAATCTAGCATGCTCTATTAACACCATTATTCATTTTAGCCACTCTGATAGATAGGTATGTAGTAATACTTCACTGTGGTTTTGATTTGCATTTCTCTACTGGCTAATGATGGTGAGCATATTTTCATGTCTTTATATTCCATACATATATCTTGTTTAGTGAAATGTCTGAATGCCTTTTGCTGATTTTCTAATTGGATTATTTTTATATTGTTCAGTTTCAAGAGTTCTTGTCGATACTTTCTTTCAGAGTATTTCAGATACTAGTCTAGATATGTGGCACTTGTTCACCTGTGGATTTCCAATTGATCCAGTACTATTTGTTAAAAAGACAATCCTTCCTCCAACGAAGTGCTTCTGCAGCTCTGTCAAAAATCAGTTGGCTGTACTTGTGTGAGGCAATTTTTGGGTTCTCTATTCTGTTCCATTGGTCTATACCACTGCTAATCACAGTCTTAATCACTGTAGTGACATCTTAAGTCTTATAATCAGATAGAGTGATTGCTCCCAAATTATTATTCCTTCTCAAAAATGTTTTAGCTATGCTAGGTCCTTTCTTTTCCCATATAAATATTAGAATAATCTTATCTTCATATATACAGAATCCTGACAGAATTAGAAATAAACTCTGTTAAATCTATATACAATTAATTTCTGTTCAATCAGTATAAAAAAAATTCCCAACAAACAAAAGTCCAGCACTAGACAATTTGATAGTGAATTCACCAAAAATTTAAAAGGCGAGCTACCACCTATCCTTCTCAAATGATTTAAAAAAAATTGAAGAGGAAGGAATGCCTCTAAACTCATTCTATATAAAACAAAAATATCCTTCAATCCTAAAAGAATGACTACAGGTATTTCTCTACACAAAAAGGAAATGATAAAAGAAGGAATTTTAGAATTAGCAGGAAGGAAGAAAAAACAATGAAAAGAGCAAATATATGGATAAATACAATATATTTTCTTTCTTCTGAGTTTTCTAAATTATATCTCACAGTAAGCAAAAACTGTAACAATGTCTGTAGAGAAAATAATTAAGATGATTATAAATGGAGAAAGGTAAAGAGATGCAATAGAGGTCAGGTTCACTTCACTTCAACTAGTAAAATGTCAACATCAGTATAGACTGTGATAAGTTATGTATATACAATGTAATACCCAGTAAATACACTAAAGTATTAAGTGTAAAGTACTAAAGTATTATTAGTATACAACTACTAAAGTAGTTATATAAAGAGATACATTCAAAAACATATAGATAAATAAAAATGGAATTCTAAAATAAGTTCACATATCTATAGGATGGGAAGGATAGGAAAACAGAGATATAAAAAATGGAACAAACAAGTAAAAATAAAATGACAGACTTAAGCTCTAACATGCCAATAATTACATTAAATATACATAACTTGGTAAAGTAAAGTAAAGTAAATTGGTCTAATGACACCAATTAAACACACTGTGGAATCTAAAAAGATGACACAAGGGATTCCCTGATGGTGCAGTGGTTAGGACTGGGCACTTTCACTGCCAGGGCCCAGGTCCAATCCTCGGTCAGAGAAACTAAGATCCTGCAAGCAGAGTAGTGAGGCCAAAAAAAAAAAGAGACACATATAACTGATTCACTTTGCTGTACGCCTGAAACTAACACAACATTGTAAATCAACTATACCCGAATATAAAATAAAAGTTTAAAAAAGAGTTCCTTTTCCTCCACATCCTTTGCAAATATTTGTTGTCTTTTTGATAATAACCATTCTGAAAGGTGTAAGGTGATATCTCACTGTGGGTTTGATTTGCACTTCCCTGATGGCTGGAGAAGTTGAGCATTTTTTCACCTGTTGGCCACCAACACCTGTATGTCTTCTTTAGAAAAACGTCTATTCAGATCCTATGCCAATTATTTAATTGGGTTGGTGTTTTGATGTGGAGTTGTAAGAATTCTTTGTATATTTTGGATATTAACCCATTGTTGGATAGATCATTCGCAAATCTTTCCCAATTCAGTGAATAACCTTCCTGTTTTGTTGATAGTTTTATATGCTATGCACAGAGTTTTCAGTTTGATGAAGTCCCATTGTTTATTTTTGTTTTTTTTTACCTAACATGAGGAGATATATATATATATAAAAAAAAACCCTAAGGCTGACGTCAAAGAGAATAGGGCTTAGGTTTCTTTTAGAAGTTTTTATGGTTTCAGGTGCTATGTTTAACTGTTTAATCCATTGCATGTAGCTATCCAGTTTTCCCAACACCATTTATTGAAGAGGCTGTCTTTTTCCCCATTGCATATTCTTGCCTCATTTCTCATAGATAAATTGCTGATATAATTTTGGGCTCATTTATGGGCTCTCCATTCAGTTCCACTGATCCATATATCTGATTATGTGCCAGTATCATTCTGTTTTGATTATTGAAGCTTTGTGTGTAATCCAGTTTGAAATTAGGGACTGTGATGCCTCCTGTTTTGTTCTTTTCTTTAAAATTTACAACATTGTGTTAGTGTCAGGTATACAGCAAAGTGATTCCATTTTATACATATATACACACATTATATACAGGCTTCCCTGGTAGCCAGGCGGTAGAGAATCTGAACTTGAATACATAATACAAGATATATAATTATAACTATATAATATGTATAACATATATATGTTCTTTTTCAGATTGTTTTCTCATATAGGTTATTACAGAGTATTAAGTTGAGTTCCCTGGGCTACATGGTAGATCCTTATTGATTATCTGCTTTATGCATGCATGCTGTGCATGCTAAGTCGCTTCAGTTGTGTCCAACTTTGTGATCCCAAGGACTGTAACCCACCAGGCTCCTCTGTCCATGGAATTTTCCAAGCAAGAATACAGAGTGGGTTGCCATTTCCTCTTCCAGGGGATCTTCTTGACCCAGGGATCGAACCCATGTCTCTTCTATCTCCTGCATTGGCAGGCAGGTTCTTTACCGCAAGCGTTGTTTATGTTAATCCAACTTCCTAATTTATCCCTTCTCCCCAACCTTTCCGCTTTGGTAACCATAAGTTTGTTTTTGAAGTCTGTAAGTCTGGTTCGGTTTTGTAAGTAAGTTCTTTTGAACAACTTTTCAGATTTTCCACATATAAGCAGTATCATACGATATTTGTCTTTCTCTGTCTGACTTACTTCACTTAGTATGATAATTTCTAGTTCCATCTGTATTGCTGCAAAGGGCATTATTTCATTCTTTTTTAATGGCTTGAGTAATATCCTAATATGTGTGTGTGTGTGTGAGTGAGAGAGAGAGTGTGAGTGTATTCCATTATCTTC